ATTTCTCCTTCTAGTCTTTTAATATAGGCCATAGCAAATGCAGTTGACCCTTGAACAACACAGGATTTGAACTGTGTGGATTTTTTAAAAATAAATTCAGTATAGTACTATAAATATATTTTCTCTTTGTTATAGTTTTCTTAATTAAAAAATGTTCTTTTCTCTAGCTTATTTTATTGTAAGATACAGTAGGTAATACATATAACATACAAATATGTGTTAGTTGATTATTTTATTGTTAAAGCTTCTGGTCAACAGTAGGCTATTAGTTGTTAAGTTTTGGGGAAATCAGAAGTTATAGGCAGATTTTCAACTGTGTGGAGGCCGGAACCCCTACCCCCCTGAGTTGTTCAAGGGTCAGCTGTAATTGGCAGTTTCTTAAACGAAGAATCCTCTCACTTGTCTTCTGGCCTTTGCCCAGGCTGCTCCATAAGTGGATTGTCCCTGTGCTCCTCCTGTTATCACTGTTCCCATTCTTTTCATCCACCTAACTCCTGTTCAATCCCTCTTCCCCTTTCACAACAGCACTCAAGTATTTATTTCTCTTGTACTTCTTGGTCCTCCAGCTCCCACCCCAAGCTGGGCTGAATTGTGCCACCTTTCTGTGTCCCCATGATACCTTGTGCATTCCGCTTGCAGTACTTTTCAAGGCCAGGTCTGGGTCTTAATTATTTTTGTGTTTTCAGCATCTGGCACAGTGGTAAGCACCCAATGACTGAAAGAATTCACTACATTAGTAAGGTACAGATACCTATTTTCTTTCTTCTCTAAAATGTCTTTTTCTCCACACATACTGATTTTCTGCCACTTCACAGCTTGTTGTGGTAGGGATCTCTCTTCAGTATTTGAAACTAACCAGTATTTGACAGATTTGGAGTTTGTAAAAAAAAAAAAAATACCCTGGAAGATTCAGGAACGAAGCTTCTGTGTGAAGGATTAAAACAGCCAAACTGTATCTTATGGACATTGAGGTAACTGATAGCAGGAGAATTTGTTGTCTGTGTTCGTATCATTTTTGGTCAATTTCTGTTTGCATGGGGAAAGAGCAATGATAATGATAATGAAGTCATTCTTCTCTTCTCTGACGGTTGTACCGATGCCTATCTCTCCTGCTTCTTGTGGGGTACTGGCAGCTATTCTCAGTACCAGTCAGTGGCTCACTGATCTGGAATTTAGTGAAACCAAATTGGAAGCTTCAGCTTTGAAATTGCTTTGTGAAGGCTTAAAAGATCCAAATTACGGAAGCTCAAGTAAGTTGTAACTATTAGTTTCCTTGCTGCAAGAAAAAAAATTTAAATATGCAATTCAAGATGGATGTTGTGTGATCAAAACACATTTCAAGGAATCATGGAGAGGAAGAATAAAAGTAACAGTCCCTAAAATTGTTCTTATGCAAGAAGTTTAGGAAAAGAATTTTCATTGTAAGTGACAATAACAGCAATGGCTATAATAATAACCCACACTTACTGAACAATCACTTTGTGCTAAGCATTGTGCTGACTGCTTTGTATCTATGATTTCCTTTAATTGTACAACAGTTCTGAGAAGTTTCAGATTATTATCTCCGTTTTAGCAATGAGGAAATAGGGACCCAAGGTCATAAGACCAAGTAACATGGCAAAGGCACAGTTCAGAACCCTCATGTATCTGACTTCAAAGTCCATGATAATGATTTTAATAAAAAAGTTTATCTTATAAACTTTTTAAAAAAGATTTTATTTATTTATTTGACACAGAGAGAGATGATCACAAGTAGGCAGAGAGGCAGGCAGAGAGAGATAGGAGGAATCAGGTTCCCTGCTGAGCAGAGAGCCCGATGCGGGACTCGATCCCAGGACCCCAAGACCATGACCTGAGCTGAAAGCAGAGGCTTAGCCCACTGAGCCACCCAGGCGCCCTATCTTATAAACTTTTAGATTTTAGTATTAGGGTTCTCCAGAGAAACAGAACAAATAAGATGTATCTGAATATACAGGTGACCCTTGAACCACATAGGGGGTGGGGCGCCCCCACCCCCCACAGTTAGAAATCCACTTATAACTTTTTTTTAAAGATCTTATTTATTTGACAGACAGAGATCACAAGTAGGCAGAGAGAGAGGAGGAAGCAGGCTCCCTACTGAGCAGAGAGCCCTATGTGGGGCTTGATCCCAGGACCCTGAGATCATGACCTGAACTGAAGGCAGAGGCTTTAACCCACTGAGTCACCCAGGAGCCCCCACTTACAACTTTTGACCCTCCAAAAGCTTAACTGCTAATAGCCTGCTCTTGACTGGAAGCCTTACTAATAACATGAACAGTTGATTAACACATACTCTGTATGTGGTATGTTTTATATATGTATTGTTACAAGAAAGTAAGCTGGAGAAAAGATGTTACTAAGAAAGTCATGAGGAAGGGAAAATACATTTACAGCACTGGAGTATATTTATTAAAAAAAATTGGTGTTTAAGTGAACCCATGAGTTCAAACCTGTGTTGTTCAGGGGCCAACTGTATTGAGATTTATTTTAAGGAATTGGCTTATAAGGATTAGGATGGCTGTCAAGTTCAATATTTGCAAGGTAGGCCAACAGGCTGGAGACACAGGGAACAGCTCATATTGCATTTCAAGTCTCAAGGCATTCTGCTGGGAGAATTCTCTCCTTTTCCCCAGGGCGGTCAGTCTGTTTCTATAAAACCTTTCAACTGATTAGGCGAGGCTAACCCAAGTTATGGAGGGTAAATTACTCAAAGTCTACTGATTTAAATGTTATTCTCATCTAAAAAGTACCTTCCCAGATACATCTAGAATAATTTTGACCAAATATCTAGATGTATAACCTAGCCAATGTGACACAATTAACTATCACTAACATATCAATATATATGTGGGCTTATTTATTTTTTTTAAAGTAGACTTCATACCCAGTGTGTAGTGCAATGCGGGCTTTTAACTCATGACCCTGAGATCAAGACCTGAACTAAGATCAAGAGTCAGACGCTTAACCAACTGAGCCACCCAGGCACCCCTATATGTGGGTTTTTAAAAGCAAAAGCTCTTTAACATTAAAGTTTTCTAAAATCTACTTTGAAACTCCTTTTTTCCCCACCAAAATACCTCTTTTTAAAATTTCTAAATTGAGGAGATATAGACATGTGTACTTATGAGCCTTCTGGATGGCTAAGGTTGGAGCCTGGTTAACTCAAGAGAAAATTGAGGACTCAAAGATTATAGTATATATCATAGAAATTCCTGAAAGTAATGGGAAAAAAAGTTGATGGGTTTCAAGAAATTGTGCTATTTAATATGGAGAAACAAAGATTGAGAAGACAGGAAGCTTGGTAAAAAAACCACTCTTCCCAAAGAAGGAATATTACATGGTTGATGATGGTGGGCTGGGTCTCTAAGGATGGAAAATTAATAAATAATGGACTTTTAGATCTTTTTTTTTTAAATTTTATTTTTTTATAAACATATATTTTTATCCCCAGGGGT